GCGCTTTCGAAGACAGCGTCGCAGTCTCGTTGAAGCGAACGACGCACACCTCCGATGGCGCCGGGTTCTCCACTTTCGAGGCGCCAGCCGATCGACAGTCACGCTTGCATACATTTCAAGACATCGCTTTGCTTAATGCTTAACGTCGCGGCTGGAGCCGGCTCTACGTCGCCACCCTTCGCCTCCCTCGTGCATCTCGAGCAAAAGACGACCCAGGGCGGCAAGCGACGATGGTGCAACTGCGCACGAGTGTGCTTGGTATGCGTCAACGTCAAAGCGCCTCGGCAATCGCCTTGAAAGGCCGTCCAGATCCGGTTCACTCGACACGCTCGCACACGCGCTGTCGTGCCGCAATCGCGACGCCATGGTAGAGATCCGCGAGCAGCAGCAAGCTCGACACTTTGCTTGATACCTAAATTCACCATGAGAGATGCACGTACAACGAGTGCGGTACCTTGCGCCTAAAGCGAACGAGCGACGAGCTCGCGTGTACGTCGTGGACCTCGGGCGACGCGTGGCCAATGTTGTCGAGCCCGAGAGGTAGGAGCTGCGAATGAGCGCAGCTTGAGCGGAGGCGACCGACGTTGTTGGACGAGAGGTTGTGGCGGGCGGTAAGCTCTCGTTGCGCTGCCAGCCGACTTGGGCTGGCTGCCGTGCGCGAGCAGCAGCGCTGCGCGTGAAATGCTCGAGGTGGAAGCCGTTAGGCTTGGCGCCGCGTGAGGTCTCGCGCGCACAGCTTCTTCGGCTCCAGCGACGTCGTCCTGGCTATTCAAGGCGTCATCCGGATAATCCCGGATGCGTCACCACCGCAGCAACGACAACTTCAATCTCGAGATGATGATCGACGCGACGCACACTCGCAGCGACCCGACAGACTCCGGCTTTCGACATACGGCAAGCACCTCTGCGCACAGACGGGCTTCTCCACGCGCTGCGGTCCACTGCAGCTCCAGAAGGGCAAGCGCGTTTGGTCGTACGAGCCGACCAGCTTTTACACCGTGCAAAGTCTTGGCGCCATAGTACTACGAGTTCTGCGTTGTGGCCCATGCTGCTTGCGACAGCGCTCCCAGTTGCGCGCTCGGCGTAGACTCGCACGATGTTTCTTTCCCAAGAAAACGCCACACGCACAAAGCTGCGGTGCACCCGAGCGCCGTTGGCGAGGGACCTACTTTGCCTTACGATCGTCTGCACGATCCGTGATCGTTGGTCGACGCCGCTCCCGTGGTCGGCGCTGTTGACCGGTAAAACGTGGGCGAGCCTCGCGCTTAGCAACCCACGTTATATAGATTCGTAACGAATGCAAGATATTGCCTCGGAAACGAGGTATATCGCCACAAAACCCAAAAGAAGAGGAGGCAATTCAATGAATTATGCTCTTTTGTAGAAAAATCGGCGCTTACATTTTCTTGGGCGCGCCAATCAGTTGGACCGAGCCCGCTTCGTCGACGGCATACACCAAGTCGCTGCTGAGCGCAATGCTGATCCACGAGCGGCCAGCGAGCGGCTCGGACCACGTAATGCGGTTCTCCGAGAGGGAGCTGATGCTGCACTGGATCTGCTTGAACTCGGCCGTGATACCGCAGACGCGCGTGCCGTCAAACGCAATATGCGAAAAGCCCGGGCTCTTGACAGCGGCCCAGTTGACGGCACCCGACGCGATCTCGGCGGTGGCGCCGACGTGGAGGTTGTGGACTTCGTCGAGGGCGTAGAGAGTCGACGCACCGGCGTGGAAGGCCAAGTAATGCTTCTGGGCCTCCTGGTACTTCCACTGCGTCCCAAACTTGGTCGTGTACGGAAGGCACTTCATGTAGATATGGCTCTTGTCCTTCTGCTCGCGGGCACAGAATGTCTCGCCATCGGTCGCGACGTGCGAGCCAAAGTCGACCGAAACGTCGACCGAGGAGTTGTTCTTGATGTCCGAGATGACGGCGTTGCCCTTGGTGTAGCTGTACTCGACGAGCGAGTTGCCACCGACAGCGATCGTGGACCACTTGCCGTCGCGCTTGACCCACTTGGCCGTCATCGACGGCGCCGTGGCACAGGCCACCTGCTTGGCCGTGTCGAGGAGACAGACGTAGTCGTTGTCGGCGGCCACTTGCTTGCCGTCACGCGCCACTTCGACCCACGTCGTCGGGGCCGGATCCTTCGTCGGCTCGGGCGTTGGCGCGGGGGTCGGCGCGGGCGTCGGCTCCGGGGTCGGTTCCGCGGTCGTCGGCTCGGGGGTCGTCGGCGCCGGCGTCGGTTCGGGCATGCCATTGACGTAGAGCACGCCCTCTTCGTCCACAGCGTAGAGAAGACCGTTGCTCTGCGCGAGGCTGATCCACGAGCGGCCCGGGAGCGCGTCGGCCCACTGGACGCGCTTCTTGAGCAAGCCGACGCTGCACTGGATCTGCTTAGTGTCGGCCGTGATACCGCAAACACGCTCGCCGTTGAACGCGATCTGCGAGAAGCCCGGGCACTTGACATCGGTCCACTTGACTTCGCCGGACGCGATCTCGGCCGTCGCGCCAACGTGCAAGTTGTTGACCTTGTCGAGAGCGTACACCGTCGACGCACTGGCGTGGAAGGCAAAATAGTGCTTCTGGGCCTCTTGGTACTTCCACTGCTGCTGGCCAAACTTGTCGGTGTACGGCATGCATTTCATCGAGATGTGGTTCTGCGCACCAGTCGTTTGCTCGCGGGCGCAAAATATGTCGCCGTTGGTCGCGACGTGCTTGGCAAAGCTGGTCGAAATCTCGACCGACGTGCCGGTGGTAATGTCCGAGACGACAGCCGTGCCGTTCGCATAGCTGTACTCGGCGACCGAGTTGCCGCCGACAGCGATCGTGGACCACTCACCGTCGCGCTTATCCCACTTGGTCGTCGATGACGGCGACGCAGCGCAGACCACCTGCTTGGTCGTGTCGAGGAGGCAGACGTAGGCGTTGTCGGC